TGCGTGCGTGCGTGCGTGCGTGCGTGTGTGTGTGTGTGTGTGTGTGTGTGTGTGTGGCCCGGAGGACAGAGGACAGGAGAACGTGCAGCTAATTAATTAAATAATTTGGTTCTGTACCTTTCTCTTCAGCACAGCTGACAAAGGTTTATGATGGGTCAGTCCTCCTGCATGCTCAGATCATTCCCTTCCCTTGCTTGAAAAATTGTTCCAAAATGAAAGTTGAACTCACATCTTTTTTATCTGTGAATTCAATGCCGTTCGGCAAGTCTCAAATAAAAATTTTGGCGTCTTGTTTCTGTAAAAAATATACCATTAATGTAAAAAAGAAACTCCAAATGAACTATGTTCACATCCAGAATCGAACCCAGGTCCTCTGCACGAGAGTCCGACATCTTACTAGGTGAGCTAAAGCGCCAGTGATGTCAATTGTATCTGTAACATTTATATCCTTGATGACAGCTGAAACAACATTCAAAGAATGGTTTGGAGTGAAAATGGCTATTTTGTTGCTAATTTGCAGGAAATCTCTAGAAGAAAGTTCTACAGAAAGTAGCTAAGGGTCCTCAGAAATGTGGCTAGCTTTGTCACTAGGCATTAGGAATAGCAACAAAGTCGCACTACCTCTCTCTCTGCTGCTAAAGCTACTGATAGCAAATGCTACGGGCTATGCCTGAGCGTGAACCATCGACATGTATACTGGACAGTTCATTTCCATAGGCTCCAATAACACGTTTTTGTGCCAAAATGGGAGGTGGCTGTTGGGTATTTTTATTTATTCAATCCAGGCATACCTCAAAGAAAGTCCAACACACGCAAAGGGGTTAGAAATATTAGGTTATCAATACCATTTATCAATAAACAACCAATAATCAACAACCAGATTTTGCTAAACCGGAGAGAAAATAAAGACACGCACGAATGGGAGGTCTGTTTAGTCTCTCTCATCGAGCCGAAGCTCTCAAAAGGTTTTATTCATTATAGCACACACACATTAAAGATAATGACAATTATTTAAACAAATACCCAACAGTGGCCACCACCGCCATTTTGACCATGTCACAGGTTCCGTCAAGCCCAGACAATTCCACAAAAGGGAAGAGAGGTGGAGCTGAGGGTGTGGCTGTAAGGCTGGGATCAACTGACGACACCCGGTCGAACTAGCTACAAGCTAACCTGAAGCTAACCCAAAGCTAACGCGGAGATGGGAGCTAAGCTAACGGAGGTAGCAGCCTAGCTACAACCGGAGTTAACTGTGCACAACACCAGAGCTTCTGAGTCAGAGATACGCCGGGCTGACCGCTGGGTAAAACCGGGTGGAACACAGAGGTCTCCCGAGAGCTCCACAAGCCGATAGTCGGAACCCAGCTCCACCAACATGTTATATTTCAACCCATTTTCTAAAGTGCAGCATTATGTTAAATGCACTGGGTTTTACCCTATTACATTTAAATGTCATGGTTAAACAGTACATGTTAAAATCTAAGCTCAGCTCGACAGTGACCTAAAATACATAAATATAATTTTACTTACTGAAAAAAATGAAGTGGAGACTCCTTGGACGCTCTATTATTGTAATTAGTGCCACAGCAAGTCATTTTGTCCAACAATTGCACAAAAAATATCCAAAAAAAAATACACAAACACAGAGACTCAAAATCCCGGAACAGTTTCCAAGCCAGACCGAGGCTCTACTGAGGCCTTTCCACGGAGCTAGCTCTGTGGTCACGTGGGTCGGATGCTCATTAATTATACAGACTTTTAGGCTTTTAATACACTTAAACAGAAGAGTGAGAAAAAAATTCACCCCACTCAGAGTTGTCATGAGTGTAAACTAGATCATTTAAACAAAAAACATGTTTTGGTACCAGGCTGTAAACATGTTTATTTCTGCTGTGAAATTGGTATTTTTAACATGGGAGTCAATGAGGATTTGCTCGCTTCTGACACCAGTCCCTAGCGGATGAGGGTGGAACTGCAATTTTTGGTACTTCCGGGTTGGTCTCAATTTTTGAGCCGCATTGTGGGGGCTTGGCGTGAACGCGCATGAAGCAGCCTGCTCGACCCGAGCATCTCTCTTTTTCTGTGATTTTACAGAAAAACAGGCAATCACAGTAAAAATGCCAGGGCTCATTATACAGGACCAGGGCATTGCAGGAGAATGTATGAAGAAGACATTTATTATTTCTATACATGTTTTGGCTGTCAAACTTCCATAATGTCCCTTTAAGTAAAATATTTAAAACTTTAAACAAGCCCAAAAATAAAAACTGTTTAAATAAAACAGTTGCATGTTATTGAGTTAGTCTCAAGATTTCTTAGTTTAGATTTAAAAACATTCAATGAAATAAGCTCTGTCATCTTCCATTTTTCCTGCAACTCATTTCAAGCTGATGGCGCTGAATGGGCAAAAGCTCTCTTTCCAAGTTCAGTACGTACAGATGGGACAGAAAGCAGCAAAGTGTCTTGTAGACGAAGAGAATAACGACCTGCAAATTTCATTTTAAGTAGGGAAGTTATATAGGAAGGTAGCAGTGCTTCAGTCCTTGTGGGGGACATATTCATAATGCTGTAACGCTGTGATGATGGAATGTTTGTGTTGCAGTGGACGGTGAAAATCAACAAACGTTTGTGATTTCGGGTGTTCTGTGAGTTCAGCTACCCTCTTGATCTGTTTAAATGGTACAAACCTGAAAATCGTGATCAGAAAAGAAAAATCTGTTCCAATGAGATGTGAAAAAAGAAAAGAATCCGCTTACCTATAAAGATAAGACATAATCTTCAGGTTGCTTCTGAGATTTTCATTGTTCTCTGGTGATATCCTATTAATGTCGACATTAAGACCAAATATATCCACTTCAGGAATCAGTGTGTGCTAAAACAACCGTGCATCCTATAAAAGCTTAGTCACAACTACGCTGTCAAAACTAAAACACTGGAAGTCTCAATAATTGGCAGACTTTAGCTAATATTGTAATATTAAATGACCGGTACCTCAGGTAGACTCGGTAAATAATATGGCGTTTCAGTTCTGTGAAAGAGGATCGCTCCGGCCTTAAGTAAAACTGAGTCAAACCACTACAACGAATCTAACCTTTCTCTATTTTTCACCAACATGTCCATGTGCCCTCTGATGAGGAGGAGAAGACAAAGGCTGATGGCTTGTACACAAAAGACCAGACCTGAGCCTTTTTTCTCTGAATTATGCTCTCTTGCAGCTAAATTCATTCCAACTATTCCTTTTGTGGCTCTGTTTCTCTACACAAATGAAAAAAGTCAGGACCTGGTTGGAATTATGTTGACTGAATGCAGCTGCAAATGGCAGAAAATGCTTGGAGGTGACAACCTTGGCTGGCGTCTGGGGCAGCCATGTCGGATTCCTCTTGTCGGAGGGATGTTGTTAGAGACACCAGAGCATTCCGAGAACTCTGACAGCACATTGATTCAATTCAATTCAATTCAAAAATACTTTATTAATCCCAGAGGGAAATTGATTGCTGTAGCAGCTCAGAATAATAATAATAATCAAGTTATCAAAGAGTTATTGTATATTACAATGGCTGTTGGCAGGAAGGATCTCCAGTAGCGGTCAGTGTTGCAGCGAAACTGAAGAAGCCTCTGACTGAAGACACTCTTCCGTTGTCGGACAGTCTTGTGAAGAGAATGCTCAGGGTTGTCCATCATTTTCTTGATTCTCTGGAGAATCCTTCTTTGCATAATCTCCTCCAGCGGTTCCAAAACTGCAGAAACTCTGGCTGAGTCCTTGAAAGGGCTTGGAGTTCCTCCATCTTGTTGGCCAGTGATCTCACATTGCCCATTATGATCGATGGAAGAGATGGTTTGAGTTTCCTCTTTCTCTGTCTCCGTTTTGCTCCTGCTCTGCATCCACGCTTCTTGCGTTTTAGCTCATTTGGGATTTGTGGCTTCAGTTGAGGTATTATTTCAGCCTTTCCAATGTTAATCAGCTGCTCCCGATTGTAAACCAGCTTGTTGCCATGGTTACGCATCATAACAAATGCTCACAAAGTGAAAAAAGCTAAAAAAAAAAATAGCAGTAAAAATCCTCCAAGCTTCACAGCACCAGAAACAGAAAAGTTAAGTGTCCAAAAAATACAGTTTTTCTTGAGAAACTAGAAGAAAAAATGCCCAAGAATAGGCAAAACTTACATATAGTCAACAGAGCTACTCCAACAGGCAGCCACCCAGAGCAGCGCAGTTCCGGAAAAAACGTGCAATCAAGCTTTCATTGTATATTCCAAAGTGATTAACGGCTAAATGACAACTGAGACAAGTAGAGACCCCTTTTCCCCAAATATATCAACCTCCGCCTCACTACTTCCATTACAACTACAATAATAGTAATCTACATGGCCTTAGACTGAATATTATCTGATCGGGGTCAGTAACGCGCAAACTGAACCAGGTCTCAGTGATATTTTAGTCGTTTGTCTTGACATATTCACCTTATTTTGCCCTGCTGCTTCCCAAAAGATGGAAGCTGAACCAGCGCTGTGTAGAGAGAGGTGTAGGGGGACAAAGATATAATGTGATTGATGTTATTGATCAGAGCATACTCTGTAACATACAAACAAGTTTATCAAAGGAGGTTTCTACACACCACTCAATAAGGAACCAGCATGTGACAGCGGTACAGCTCTAATAGTCAGAGCAGCAAATCCTTTTACAGGTCATAAATTAACAATCAAAAGTAAAATCTCTTCAAACAGAATCATAAACTAATTATCTAATGAGTTATAACTAGTTAACAGCATCATATACCCATCAGACAAGGAGGAGCACTAACGTTGACAAGCTGCTCTCACTTTCATTCAACTTCAGCACATAGCTTGTTCTAAACAGAGTTAAATAAACACAACAAAGTCCGCATAATGGCTCTAATCATAGAATCAGTACTGCAGCAGATGAGTCACCTTCTCCCCAAACCCTTTCCACCCTCATTACGCCTGCCCTCTGGAACCATCTGCTGTTTACAGGAGTCTTACCATCGTCGGAGGTGCAGGTCCGTCACCGGGACGCTCCGTAGAGCCGATCCCAGCAGCATGAAGAAAGCAGAGAGAAGCAGGGAAATCCTCAGACCTAAACGACACAAAATAGGACCATTTATTAGATAAAGAACAAATGCTAAAGCTAACTAAACATTCAGTGAGCCAAACACAGCCCTGATGTGTGCAGAATGGTTTAATACACAAAGCAACACAATGTGAAATAAACATGCAGCTACTAGAATGTGCTTGAATACTACAAGGATGATGTCATTTGAGATAGTCCAGCTCTTTATTCACACTCACGCCTCTCGTTCTGGCTGCAACTGTCTCATATAAGAGAGGGAGTCAACATACTTTAAGATGCAGCAGGATGCAGACAAGGTTGATTCTAAATCAATTTTAAAAGGTTGAAAATCTTTGTTAATCCTTTTAAATAAAAAAATAATGTTGAGTAATTAAAGTTCTGTGAAATAAATCAGACCAATGTAGGTATTGGCAGCTCAGAGTTCTAAAATGATCAGCCTTCAAAACCAGAATCGGTGCTTTTTTAATACAAAGTGATGACGGGTCCGTCTTTGAGACTGAAACTGATGTAAAGACTTCACTTGTATGACGCAGTATAGGGGCCAAAATTAAGACTACTGCCCAGCAGCAGGAGGCTATATAAATTATGAAGCAAACTACTGATCTGATTAATGATAAGCTGGCACCGGTAACTGAGAGGCTGGCGCTGCTTACTGAGGAATAGTACCTTTACCGGCGTTACTACTAGATATGCTAGGGACTAGCACCCTCGGCTGGTCGTTGACTGGTTCAAACACTCCCTCTGCTGTCTATTAGCATGGATAGGCTAGTGTCAGCCTGGATGGCCTGGTGCTAGCATTGGAGAGGCTAGCCATTAGCGTGCCTAGGCTGGCCACTAGCTGGATTTCCTACCTCCTTGACGGACCTTAAGCATGGATAGGCTGGCATTAGCATCGGAGAGGCTAGCCATTAGCATGTGTCGGAGAGTCACTAGTCAGCTAGTCCATCATGTTTATTCATTCATTTATAGTTTAATTTTGTCTGGGGCATTTTTAATTCATACTTTTGTTAAGAATCAGAGGTCTTGGTCCAGCTTTGTTTATAAAGCACTTTACACAGGACTATAGAGCCCCAGATGCTATAAGGGAAGATCTTTACATCATTCAAAATTAGTCCATAAATGTTGTTTTGTGTGGAAAAAGGTCATTTTAGAGCAGCAAAATGTTTCACATTTTATTTATCAATAGAAATGTTGCAAATTATTTATTTACAGGTGATTTCAACTTATTAGCTTTAAGATGTGTTGATACCTGTTTAATAATTTAATAAGCATAAGTGAAACTACGAGTCTGGAGGTCTCACATCTCCAGGTCCCACGTTTTAAAACCTCAACCACAACCATCTAAACCAGGTGTGGTCATCAAAGTCAGAGGTAGCAGTCGACCGATCTTGGTTTTTCTACTGCCGATAACAATGTTGATATGTAGGAGACACGGTCAGCCCATGGCCAAAATTTACTGCCAATTTTTTGGGCGATATGTAAACATTTTCCACCTTATTTTTATGCTAAAATGTCAATAATAACATCAGCTGACGCACAACATTTCTGAAGCTGAGTCAGTTTTTGAACCTGAATTTAACTAACTGTTAAATCGTTACCTCGCACTGCTCAGCGTTAAAGTCAGAGACCTAAACAAAGTTCATTTAGAGTATTTATGCAGATGTTATTAGTGAACGTAAAAATTAGAGGTGCTGAAAAAAATCGATTCAAGTCTGAATCGGGATTCTTATTTATAAAGATTCAGAATCGATTGACAAAGGTTCAGAATTGATTCCAAGAACTCAAATATTTGGCATGTTACAGGTTTAAGATGCACTTTTTTGGTCTTTTTTAGGAGAGTCAGTACTCCGTTTACTTTTGTGGTCCCATAAATTGAGATGATTTATGTTTGAATCTGCTGATAAGAGGGCACTTGAATGTCATTTTTTCCATACTCAGAAATTTTGAGTACTCAGGATTACTCATGTAACTTGTTTCTACACATACTTGAAAAGTATTTGACCATATTACTTTCAAAGCTACTGTTAATAACTACAGATTTGTTATGTTGTTTATGTGCTTAGCACATATTTTACAAGGTAAGCAAAAAGAAATGTTGCCTTTTGGTCAAAAGATTGCTTCTTTTAACAGTTTTAGAATCACTTTATTTTACATTGTAAATTTGCATTTTTGGAGCATGACCAGTTTAAAGTCAAATAGCAATGTCCCATAGCTTTAACTAACTTGTACAACAAAGTAGTTCATCCTGGAGCTGACAATCTTTGTTAATACTAGGGCTGCACAATATATCGCAAATATATCGTTATCGTGATATCAGCATGCACAATATGAATATCGCAATGAACAGATAAATGTCGCAATGAATGGTCAGCTCAAATGTTTGCTACACATGATGCATTCTGTCCATCAAACAGAATGCATCATGTAACAAATCAAATGGAGCTCTTCACCCATTTGGCCAATCGGGTGGGTTCTCATAGGTTAGACGCCCGCCCCCGAGGTGGACGGCACTTCATTTAGATGGTTAGCGAACACCTGAGTTAGCTTCGTTAGCTCTTTTTGCTGATTCTGCTTTTCCCGGGATCCACGGATTGCCTTTTCTTGTTCATTTTATTTTTCCCTTTCCTCACATTTTTTGCTTTTGTCATTTTTATGATTTTTTAAATTTTTTTGTTTTTGATTATTTTTGTTCCCGAGTTAAGTTTTCATTTATCGCAAGTAATATCGTCATCGCAATATTAATCATTGTTATTGAATATCGCGGGTTTTCCTAATATTGTGCAGCCCTAGTTAATACCGATTGTGAATCGATTTAAATTGAGAATCGAGAATCAATTCTGAATCGAATCGGCACCCCAAGAATCGGAATCGAATCAAATCGTGAGTTGCTCCAAGATTCACATCCCTAGTAAAAATACATTGAAATTACATTCTGCCAGCACATGGCTGTCCAGAGTTGTGCCGGACTTTAAATCGGCTTTATTAAGGACAGATATGGGCAGATGTATGAGAAAAAACAGAAAATATCGACCTGATATGAAATGATCCAGTACGATACTGGAATAAAAAGTGACACTTGGACAATAATATTCTACGATTTATTGTAGTTTTTTGTGAAGGTGGTATTATATACTCTTGTAAACATAGAATGCATCAATAATATACATTTATTTGGGTTAATTAAAGGATTTTATTATTTTGCATCCAGACTACAGATGTTGGTAATTATTAACAATCTAAGTCGTTCTGTTTAAGTTACTGATGACGCTGACCATTTCAGCTCTACTCTGTTGTATAGAGGTCATCCAGCCCACCATGACTAATCCCAAAATAATACTCCTCAAAACAATTCAATTACCTCCATAATAATTAAAGTGACTGAGGGGTTGCGCAAACTGCTTATTGCCGAAGAGTTGCATCAGGCTGGATTTGTTTCAGTGCATTGATTAAATGTCATCTGAATGAAAATGTAGAAATCCCGGAGTTCCGTATCTATGTGTGTCAGCAACAGTCTGAACCACCCAGCCACCACTATAAACCAGGAAGTCACACTTTTATTCATGTGGCTCCCATTAAGGAAAATCCCTGCTCAGGTTTCCATGTGAGTTAATGTAGTTACAGTTTGAGAAACATGCTATAGAGCAGCTGAGTGAATAATGCCAGCCGTACTAAACTTCTGACACAGATGTTTATTGTAACCTGCTGTTCGAAGGCAAAAGGTGTGTGTGTGTGTGTGTGTGTGTGTGTGTGTGTGTGTGTGTGTGTGTGTGTGTGTGTGTGTGTGTGTGTGTGTGTGTGTGTGTGTGTGTGTGTGTGTGTGTGTGTGTGTGTGTGTGTGTGTGTGTGTGTGTGTGTGTGTGATATCTCATGAACTACTGGGAATATTTTAATGAAACTCTCAGAATGTTCTCATTTCATGCTCACTCACAAACAACTTTCTCAGTAAATTTAATTCAAGATGGCTTCCACGGCTAAATGACTTTAGGATAAACAAAACTTGTTATAACTCAGCCAAACCTGGTCTGTTATTAGCCGACAGTCACTTAAGCACATATACTTAGTGTTAACCAAGGGGGAAACTCCGGCTGACAAAAGTGATGCCAAGGCAAAAGTGACAAACATTGCAGCTCCTCCCTCATCCACAAGGGGCTGGCTCCAGAAAGGAGCCAGTTCCAATTGACTCCCATGTTGAAAAGGCCAACTTCAAAGCAGGAACAAACATGTTTACTGCCTCAGTAAAAAATCAATGGGGTGAATTTTTTTAAGTCATCTGTTTAGATGTAAATAAAGTTTGAAATTTTGAATATTTAAGGATGTGTCTTTCTGACTGATAAGTGTCAGATGTGAACATAAGTGGCTTTCCGCCTGCTTACTCCAGGAATGGCCTCATCCTCAGCCTCACATTAAAAGGCTCACAACCTAGAACAGGGCTATTCAATTCCAGGCCTCGGGGGCCGGTATCCAGCACATTTTTGTTTTAACCCTGCTTCAACACACCTGATTTCAATCAGCAGGTGATTAACAGGCTTCTGCAGCACCTGATGAGCTGCTGTACAGGTGATTCAACCACTGAGTCAAATGTGTTGGAGGAGAATAACCAATAAAACGTGATGGATACCGGCCCTCAAGGCCAGAACTTGAATAGCCCTGGCCTAGAAGGTAGAGGGTAGCACAGTCACCCAAGCACAGTTGTCTGGCTCAAAGCAAACACCAACCGTTAGGTTCAGTTATCTCAGTTCTTGGGCCTTCACATCTGGGTCAGTTCAGCCGCGCCCTGGTAGGTTAATCGTGTTCACATTAGAGATGCACGTTTTCCCAAAATTTGTTGGGCCACCCCATTGACTTGCATTAATTTTTTTATTCTTCCGGGGACCCATGAGCCGACCAGAAAGGGAGGAGACTTAGGCTCTCTATAGTCAGTTCCAGTCTACGGGGCGTCTACATCTAAGGCTCGATCCCAATACTCCCACTGCGCCCTGCGGTCTTCAGCGAGTGCACTTGGAGAAAATGCGCAGTAAGACTTCGAGTGTGTAGTACGCAAGTGTGCAAATAATTGCCGAATTGAGACAGGAAACATTGAGTCATCGATATGCTGGTCGCTGTGATACTTTTTTTCAAAACTTTTGTTAAAAACTTTCAAACAACCAACCAGTTATTTGAAATTCATTTAAACTCATTGCTGCTTTGTCTAAAAAATTCAGAGCATCAATTAATCATCCTAAAATGAACTAATTTCATTAGAAAATACATCTTTTCAGAAAAGGAACTTGAGCCTTTTCTCCCGCAGCACTGGATTGTGGGTAAAACTTCACCCAAGTCTGCATCGATGCAGACCTGGGTGAAGTGGAGATTAAGGGTGCAAAAGGGGAGAGATCAATTTCCGCACCTGAAAATTGGGACACTACGCACTCACACCCCTGGTTGGGATCACACAATGGAAGGGAGCAAGGGGGGAAGTGCGAGTATTGGGAATGGGCTCTGAACTTGAGACAGTTATCCACACCTTCATCTCCTCACGCTTAGACTACTGTAACTCTCTTTTCACGTGTCTGAGCAGAACCTCCCTGAACCGTCTACAGGTGGTTCAGAATGCCTGTGCTCGGCTTCTGACCAAGTCCTCCAAACACACCCACATCACCCCGCTTCTCCTCCAGCTTCACTGGCTGCCAGTCAACTTCAGGGTTCATTTCAAGATCCTGGTTCTGGTCTATAGGGCCTTACATGGACAAGCACCATCTTACATTGGTGATCTTCTTAGTCCCTACACCCCCAGCAGGTCCCTGAGGTCCAGTGATCAAAGCCTACTGGTTGTGCAGCACCAGGCTAAAGACCAAAGGTGACAGATCATTTGCTGCTGTGGCCCCCAGACTCTGGAACTCTCTCCCCTGAGCCTGAGATCAGTGGACTCAGTGGTCTCCTTTAAAAAGCAGCTGAAGACTCACTTGTTCAAGCTGGCTTTTGTGTGATCTTCTTCACCACTCTCTCTTTATTCTGCTCTCCCCACCTATTCCACCTTCCTCAGGATCCACTGATTTCCCTCTTTCCTGTTCACTCTCTCTCTTTCTTAACATTTTTTAATCACATTTGTCTATTTTTGCTCATTTTAAATATATTTTTAAACATTTTCTAAATTATTTTTTATATTTTTACATTTTTTGTTTTTGTGAAGCGCCTCGTGATTTTTATCTTGAGAGGCGCTATAGAAATGATATTTTCTTCTTCTAAGTCTGTGCATGTGAGAAGCTTGCTTCTTCATCTGTGGTTTTTGAGTAAACATATTTTGATAGCGGCGCTCTTGTGTCCTCTAGCAGCACTAAATATATTACACCCACCCCACGCAGCAGGACATGAACTGCTGAAAGAGCAAGTCACCCCCAAATCAACTTTTTTTTCTGATAAACTATATAAATGTGTCTAATCGTGCTGCAGACATGTGAAGTCAATAGTTTTGCACTTTAGTGCATTTTAGTTAAAATTTACATTATCTGGCTAAAACTGTCAGTGTTGTGCCGTTGTCAGGTGAAAACCCTGCACTGCATTTGAATTTAAATCTGCCATCGCTATTGGCTAAGAGGTATTCTAGAACATCAGCTGGTATGATATGATGTCACAATGTCATTGTAAGCCTGTGTGTGTGTGTTTGTTAGCGGCTCCGCCCTCTCGGTCTGCTAGGCAACAGCATTTGTTGCATTTTACAAACAGGAAGAGGGAGTGAAGTAGGTGTTTAAGGCAATTAACTGGTTAACCGGTTAACTATGTACATCCCTAGTTGGATAATCTGAGCGTGTTCTGCTCTCAGCTGGCCGGGCTTTTTTTGTTTACCTTCTCTCCGGCAGTCAGCTTTATGCGGTGCTGACTCAACACACCCACTACTGGCTGGCAGCACATGTGCGGTTTCCTGCAAGTGCTATTTATTGTCAGTCTGGATATAGTGTTTTGATTGCTTGCACATATTGTATAAGAGAACAGTCCTTTTGTGTCTTTTATGTTTACTTGTTTTTATCTTATCTGTCAGTTGTTCTTGGTGTAAAACTAATAATTGTGACTGTTGCTGCTGCGTCTTGGCCCAGGTTGTCGTTATAAAATAAGAATGGTTTCTCAATCAACTCATCTGGTCAAATAAAGGTTAAATAAAAACAAAATAGTAAACGTCTTCCCTGACTGCAGCTCGGACCTGCTGCTCTAGCCGCAGCAGTGTGAGGACAGACTGCTGAGAGGCGCACACAGCATCTCAGTGAGAACTGGAAGCTGTGTGCTTCATGTCAGAGTCTCCAAAAGCAACACTGCTCACGGCCGCCTTTGTTTAAGGAGGACTACACGGACTTGTCCGCTCATCTTTCTCCCCGCCCGTGTACTCAGAGAGGCAGGAGTAGCTCAACAGGTTGAGCGGGTTGTCCAGTAATCGGAAGGTTGCAGGTTCGATCCCGGCACCGGACAGAGAATTATGCTGTTGTGTCCTTGGGCAAGACACTTAACCCACCTTGCCTGCTGGTGGTGGTCGGAGGGTCCGGTGTGCAGGTCATCCAGTTTCTGAGAAAGCTGTGTGAACAAAATCTGGCCGCGTAGGGGTGGGTGACGCTACCAGGACCGGACCGGGCCAGGCCAGATGTGAAACCGCCCTGAGCTCATAGCCACATGGGCTCTCAGCTCCACCTCTCCATTTTCTGAGAGCAACACAGCCAAGATGGCAGCGGTAGGAACTACCTACTGGACTTTTATTCAGCTTTTCAGACACCTACAAGTGACATCAGGAAGTCTTTGTCCATCTAATATAGAGTCTGTGGTGCTAACATGTCATGTAGCACTGCATGCTAAAGCTTGATATTGCATTAGGCTAATATCAAGCATTAACTCAGTCATTTATCAACAGAAGATCTAAGTTTAAACCTTTGGTATGGTGAAATGCAATACTTAAGAAATGTCTGGACTTTACTTGACAAACGATACCAACATCTTTTCTCTAGAGTGTGTTTTGTGTTCTTGTAATGATAACAAAACAAACATCACAAAATCATTGACCAAAAAAACAAATATTTGCAGGCGAAGGCATGTTTTATTCCTTGACAGCCCAACATGTGACTGGGCTGCTTGGCAACATCCACTATGTTGACCATCAGTTGTTTCTACCTTTGAGGAGGAAGGGAAGGAGAGAGCCTAGCTTTCTCAGCAGGGAGCAAAACAGTCCCCACAGAGAACCCTTCATCATACACAGATAAAGCACAGACAGTTGAAGTCTGTAGCAACGTCTGGATGATATTACCTTGTAAACAAACTGTGGCTTGATGCAATCTGAGGACAGTGTGGGCTTTAAAAGAACATGGTGGGTGATCTCAAATTGGTTTATTATGCCTTACATGGTCTTATGAACTGGATTTACACCTGAAGAACAGATTTGACACACCCGGTTATAAAATTTAACAACGAACTAACTAAACTAACCGCTCATGAATCAGAATCACAAGATGACTTTCTTTATTCGTGGGCGCGTTTTTGATCATCTGCAGTGAGGCTGATGTGATTTTAGCTGTTTTGATGTTTACATGTCACCTGACAGTCAGCAGCAGGTATCAGTGAGGTGGTGCAGTAGAACTGGTTAATCAATGCACAAACTTCCTTGTTGTTGCATGAAAAGGCTTCACAGCATATTCTTCCTTTTGTTATGGGAATCTTAGTGTAGGAAGGAGGTGATTTTAAATGTTATTTTATTACCTGCGCCCACCAACAGACATAATGGACACTCCTCTGGACATTTTTACTGATTTGACACCAGATGATTATTTATGTAGATCACAAAGCAAAGATGTCAAAATGTTTTGTTTTTATCGTCCTAAACAGAATAATTTAATTTTATCTTAAATTAGATGTCACTCATATTAAGTCACTTCCACAATAGGACAGGGTTAATGGCATGAACAGAGTTTATAATTAAAAAATTCTGACTGAGAAGCTTCTTATAATTGTTCAAAAAACTATTTACAGTTTTTATTAAAAAGCCACTGGCGGGATAAGTCCAGGGGTTTAATACACTCATATGCAGACAGGAGGACACAGTGTCCCAGATCGAAACTCACCTTTTTTATCCATTAACCACATGAACAGCAGCCAAGGGATGTAACCCACTGGACCCCACAGCACCAGAAATGCGATGTCGGACTTGGTGAACCCGTAAGCCTGGACGGCTGAGTTCGCTATTGGACCCCAAAAGTTCCACACCATCCCCTGCATCAGCGCCAGCAGAGAAAACAGGGTCAGAACCAGCCATCTTCTTCCGTACACTCGACTGTTTACAGGCAGGCCGTTCGTGTAAGTGTTCGTGTTAGTCCCGACACGGGAGGGAACGAGAAGGGGCTCCCGCTCCGCCTCGGTGCTCGAACCGGCACCCATACTAGCTGTTTTCCGAGAGAACGACCAGAAACCGGGCTTAACGGCAAGAAATTTGCCTGTCGCTGATATATTGTTGACCACTCAAACAAAAATTGCCGACAGTCTTTTGTTGTGTTAGCTTAGTGCGCATGTCATTACGGAAGCCCGGTCACACTGTCATGTGATCTTTGTTTACATCCGCCAGAAGTTCAGCTACACGTGTATACATAGGTGAGTTCTTATTTGTCCATGAAGTTACCCCCATTTCCATAAAGCTACGTTAAATAATGGCAACGTGTGAAGCTTAAGTAGCGTTTGAATTTAGCAGTCTGCTCAAAGCTAGCTAGCTAACAGCATCAGTTGTAGTTTTTTTTAATGACTAAGTCCACGTGCTGTCAGTTTGAGAGCTTTCTCGTTTAGAAACAAGATAAATAAACGCATCTACCCTAACCTCATTTGGTTTTCAGGCATCCTACAAGTCACTTGTTCCCCGGTGTGTGTAAACCATAAGCGGTTTTGCCAAAAGCATGACAATTTATTAATGTAATTAGCTCATTTATCTCAAAATGATGTAAATTTGGTTTGTGGTGTTTGAATTTTACGGTCATCAGATTTGATTAGGTTCTAGATTTTGACAAATCAACAAGTGGCTTATGAGCAGCATTCAAACCATCAGTTACCAAGTAATGCAATTACCCCCCAAAATTATGATTGCACACAAAATAAAGACGCAGATAGAATCAAAGCCAGGATGCTAAACCTACCAAGTGAGAATAAACTGCATATAAATTTGCATAGATTGAATTAAAAGTACATACACTTGTGGTAAATGGACTTACACGTCCTTTAATTTCTAAGTTCTAACATATCTAGACATAAAAATGTCTCCTACCTAAGGGGATACAACTCAGAAGAACAGTAGTGTCTTATTTGTTTTGTAAGAACTGAGCTAAACTCCAGGAGTCTTGTATGGATAAACAAAGTACTGGGTTAGTTAATGCAGGCATCTCCAAAGTGCAGCCCCGGGGTCATCTGTGGCCCTTGGGACAATCATGTGCTGTCCCCTCTTGCATTTGTGGAATGATTAATTTTGTCTCTCTAGCACATAGATCCATGCTTTCTAAAATTTCTGTTTCAAAAATTAAAAAATCACCATAAAATTATTTTGGCATTTTTCTAAATTAAAAAATTATGTTGTTGTGGCCCTAAAGACCTATTAGCTTAACGAATGTGGCCTTCATCTTGAAATATATGAACACCCCAGCTAGGTAAAGTGATTTTAAAGGTGGAGAAGTTTTCTTTAAATGGACTGGTGTGTCAGTTCTTATTGGTAGATACATAAAGGGAATTCTGGCCAATGGAAATGGGATCTGTTGAAAATGAACAGTTTAAAATGTTAACCAACTCGTTTTACTAATATGCTAGTGCTGGACTAGTAGTATACAGTACATTTTACAAAGGAATACATATCACCAGCCATATTTTATCTGGTCTTATCTTGAAAAATGGTGATGTCATAGCTACTTTTGCATCTTGCATGAGCACCATAGCTTTACAATAACAAGTGCTTATTTCATCTGCTAATTTGGAGCCAGGCTCTCGATTTACCGGTCAATCTACGTCCCAATCCTCAGCTATGGTCATGGTCTTTGGGTAATGACCGAAAGAACGAGATCGCGGATACAAGCGGCCAAAATGAGTTTCCTCCGTAGGGTGGCCGGGCTCAGCCTTAGAGATAGGGTGAGGAGCTCGGACATTCGGGAGGGACTCGGAGTAGAACCGCTGCTCCTCCAGATCGAAAGGAGTCAGTTGAGGTGGTTTGGGCATCTGGTCAGGATGCCTCCTGGACGCCTCCCTGGGGAGGTGTTTCGGGCATGTCCTGCCGGCAGGAGGCCCCCGGGTCGACCCAGGACACGTTGGAGAGGTTACATCTCCAATCTGGTCCGGGAACGCCTTGGGGTCCTGCTGGAGGAGCTGGTGGAGGTGGCTGAGGAGAGGACGGTCTGGAGCTCCCTAGTTGGGATGCTGCCCCCCGGACCCGGATAAGCGGAGGAAGACTACGACGACGAATTTGGAGACTAGATTTTTTACTACATGCCTCAAACAAGAGGAAATGACCCTACTGACGAAATGACGCATCTCACCAGTGCACACTGTGAATGTTGGCTGACTAATTACAGCAAGCTAAACCTAAATAAGCTAATCTCTGTCCTCCCTCCTGTGCTGAAGCCTGATAACAGCGTGAACCACTGACTATGGCGGCCGTGACCTCCATTAAACCCTTCAGCCCAGAGGAGACCCAGAGGATTTTGCATCATTTGCAGCAGCCTGCAGTTTTCCTGAAGATGACATGTGACTGGCCCGTTCTCCACTGGACTGCAGAGCATCTGTCCAACTGTCTTAATGACACACTCGTCCGATTCAGACTAGGAAGACGAGAGGAGACACACGGTAAGAACACATGTATCCCTAGATTGATCAAAGCTGGAGTTGATTCTCAGAACAGACCTAGAGTGTGATCAGCAAAGTCATTTCAGTCTGAAAGTAGTTTTAGAATAAATGAGGTAGAAAATATCAGAAATAGTGAAGAAACATTAGGAGGAAATCCAAAAGGCAAACATTAAAGACAGTCCCAAATGTCCTCTCAGTGCCTCCATTTACCTCTCTGGTTTTTCTGTTGGATGAGTTGGGCTGAAACACACTATTTGTTTATTTAGAACACAAAATGTCAAAAATCACTTGATGGATTTTTCTTTTGCTGAAAATCATCAAGTCTTCAAATAAAAAGGTTGTTGTCTTTTTTATTGTAATAGATTCTTTGTTTGTTTTTATTCATTTCTGTTATTTTTGTGGCATTTTTCTGTTTTTACATAAATTAATTAGATGAAGTGTGAACAAATCAACTTTTTAGGAAACACTGTTTGCTAATAAAACATTAAAAACAAGTTTTATCATTTATGAAATAGGAGATGCTGAGCATCATTATAGGCGAGGACAAGGTAAAAAAATGACAGCATTTCCAAGTCTTGAGTCAATGCTGTGTTAAAACTAAGCAGGTTTCTGCACTGGAATTCCCTGCACGGGTTTAAGTGTACAGTTTATTATCGCTGCACTCATGAATGCGTAGAAACGAGGCCTACAAGAGGACCCAGACACGTTTCCTCTGCAGCGGAGCTCGTTTAGAGATGGACGGAGGCAAAGTCGGTCTTGTGGTCTGGCAGAATAAAACATTCTTTTTTTTTTTTATGAAATCAGACATTTGGTCAAATGTCAAGCAGACCAGCATGTACCTGTCCTGATTTTATTTTGTTTGTTTTTGTTAATATTTTAATTATAAATATAGAAAATATGTGGATTGAGTTGAAAATAGTCCAAATCTTTCAGTCGAGGTGAAACTAAACAAACGTAAGAGACAATCAAACATGTCAGATTAAACAACCTGCCTTATAACAGCTGTTTATATTTTCATGTAGACTGAGGTCATAACCCTTCTTTTGTAAACAGCTATGTTTGTTTACCTTTTGGCCCGGTGACAGCTAAATAATGCCTCTTTAGTCTCCTGAATGATGCAACATGCCGCCTGATAACACCGTGTTAACTAGTTTTCCAGTTTTGCAGCTGCACCAAATGACAGGAAGATATTTTTTTATCATGGATTATTAACGCCAGCCAGGGGTGGACTGGCCTATCTGGCATTCTGGCACTGTCCCGGTGGGCCGCTTAGCCAAGTGGGCTGCTTGCCCAGCTCGGGTCGACACTACTCCACAGTTGGTGATCTGCAGAACAGTAGCTACATGGTAACCTGAAAATAACAGTTTTTCCAGGCGTTTTTAGCAAGAAAAGCGCGGTAGAGCAATGACGTAGTAGTTGTTTTACCGCGTTAGCATGTAGCTATTGTCCCACTGATCTCCGCCCATGGCAAATTAGCTAATCTGGAAGGCCTGGGCTCCCGGCCGCAGCGTTCTGTCCCTGCTTGTAATTTAACAGTCCCAGTCCATATTAGATCTCACATTCGGCCTAGAAATGAGTCCGCAGGCGGCAACACCTCCCCCACCCCCACCCCCACCTCTCTCCCAATTCGGAGGGCCGACGATTTGTAAAAATGCCAGGGCCGAATTTTGGTCCCAGTCCACCCCTGATGCCAGCCCTCAACTATAGGTGCTGTTTGTTTGTGTAAATATCTAAAACTGTGATTTGTTTTGCTGCTGACATTACTAAATGTGGTTGTTTAACACCACTGGATTGTGTTGTTGGCGTGGCTTTCTTCTGAAGATTGTGTTTCCTGCATCTTTAGCCCCCTTGTTTGAGACCCAGTGTTCCTACGCTGAGGCCACAGTAGCTCAGTTTCTGCGCTGGACTCAGGGTCAGACAGATGTGGGTCCGTTTTCTGACTTCTCGCTGTCAGAGCACTGGATTTATGCTGATTACAAGTACATCGCTGCACTGTTTCAGCACCAGCCTTCCATGTTTGAGGTAATTAGCCCTCACTTGAAACAGTCCTGCTAAGTTCAGATTTCATTTTGGATGTCAGCTTTGTGACAAAACCCTCTTCTAACATCACATTTGATATTTGGGATGTTTAAGGTCTTTATGCCTTGTGTTTAGGAGGAAACATTAAAATATTAAATTTTAAGGGTAATTTAAAGGTGCAGTATGTAAGACTATAGTGAGAATTTTACAGTGAGACTCCCAAAAGAGTCTAATGTTTCAGTCATTCTGGAAGTAATCTACTGAAACATATTTCATATCCAGTTGGCTGCTGCTATCAGTTTTTCTCCTTTCAAAACAAAGGTTGGAGGGACGTAACGACTGTTTACCACCAGTGAGTGTGGGATTGCCGTGTGAGCTAATACTGCAGCGCCAACAATTGCAATTTGACGACGGCCGGCAAAAAGCTCCAGAGTTGCTAAAAGTGGTTGCAGTAACCTCATTTTACCACAGGATGTAATTTTTACTTCATTCCTGCATAATGCACCTTTAAATAGCCCCCTTGTTTCTCCTTTTTAGGCTGAGAATAAAATTCTAAATGTAAGAATGTTTGATCATTTTTAAATGGTTTATTATTATTATTATTATTATTATTATTATTATTATTATTATTATTATTAAGGCCTGATCAAAAGTTTAAGCCCACTTAGAAATGGCTAAAGATCCTTATTCTGGATGGTTGGGTCTTATCGAAGTAGAGATTCAACATGCAACAAGAAGAAAAGGGAGTGAAAAAAAATGTTTTTCAGCATTTGTTGAAAACCTTTTTTAAACTGAAACAGGCTGTAAAAGACCAGGGGTCTCATTTATAAAACATTGCATAAAATCCTCACTGAAACTGTTCTTAAGCTCAGCAAAAAAAAATCTATTTACGCCAAGTAGGTTTGTGATCTATCAAACATGGAGTACGCACAGCTGCACGCAATCTCTGCTTTATAAATCACAAACTTCCTAGAAAGGTTTCAGCTGTTTCTGAGTCACATCCCGCCCTCAACGTGCCCACTTTCTGCCATAAATGGTCAATGCAAAGTGCCTTGTGGATCTCATGCATATACATAAGCCGGCTCGTTGCAGCGCTCCACCATTAACGATGGCGACCGCAGATCAAGGAAGCGTAATTTCACCAAAGCAGAACTTGAGGTACTTGTGGGTGAGGTGGATAAATTAAAGGAAGTGCTTTTGCAAAACAAATAAGAGAAAATCCACAGAGTGGTACAGCGTTGCTGAAGTCGTCAATACTGAGTTCTTCAGCGAGATCTGTGGCGGATATAAAAAACAATGATCCGATTGAGATTCAATCCCCAGACTCCTGGGTGAGGGTCACGGGCAGCAGCAGCTCAACAGGTTGAGCAGGTTGTCCAGTAATCAGAAGGTTGCAGGTTAGATCCCATCTCTGAACAGAGAATTCTGCTGTTGCAGGTGTGTTAACCCATCTTGCCTGCTGGTGGTGGTCACAGGGGCCGATGGCGCCAGTGTTCGGCATGCCTCACCTCTCAGTGTGCCCCAGGGCAGCTGTAGCTACATCGTAGCTCATCACCATCAGCATGTGAATGGATGAATGATACACTGTAGTGTAAAGTGCTTTGGAGTCCTTACTCTGAGAGGCGCTATACAAGTGCGGGTCATTTATCATAACCAGTCAGCCAAACGGACATCTCCCTTGGCCAAGTAGCCAGGGCGCATGATCAATCAGGTCACAGTGACAGGATGCTCACACTGTCATACATGTATGATAATCTGTCCCCCTGCTAATATTCTGCATTCCGTATTCTGCGCTTTAGGCTGTGTGTGTGAAAACGAAGCGGTACAAGTGATAATGCTGCAGGATTTCATCATTTTATCCTTCTCAGCAGCAGCACTACAGGTGCTCTCCATGTCCAACATGTGCGTAAGCCAGGTCCTTAGTCAACTTAAAGTTGCACACATTTTTTCGTTAAGTTTTCTTTCATAAATCCCAAAGTTTGCATGGAAATTTGGTTACACAGTTTTCCGACCCCGTTTTGTGCGTAAGCAAGCTTGATAAATGAGGCCCCAGATCTGTAGTCACATGTGATCTTAAACTTTTGGCCGGGACTGCATTCTAACATGTTCTTGTCTTATTGGTAACTAAGAGTTTACATGCTAAGTTTTCCACCACAGTAGCATTACTGTAATAGCTGTGATCCTCATCATGGTAGGCAATAACATAAAAAGTGTTTTATTTTTATCTGGGTGTTAAATGGTTGTTAGGCATCCACCTGCAGTTATATTGATGTTCACGTCGTTGACACTGACATGCATGAGCTGTGCAGGATAAAAATATTGTAGAAATGCTTCCTGACGGCTAAATCGACCAGCCTGCTGCTCACAGCCGGCATCGTTGTTCAGGAGTCTTTGATTGCTGTATTTGTGCTCTGACAGAACGTGATTGACAGTTTAGTTTTTCCTGAAAAATGACATTTCTGTAGCTTGATTTTTGTTATTTATTCATTTTTATACCCAAACACCGGTAACAAGCCACATCTCAGCTGATGAGCGCTGATGAGCCGTGGGCTCACAGCTGAGACGTGACTGTTTTCACGTCAGCATCACAAACTGAATGGAACAAAACGAGCTGATTTAAATATCTAAAATGTTTAAAGATTGATCTGTTCTTCATTTGAATATGTGTTCTGGATTTTCCCGTAGGATGTAAAGTGGTCGGACTTTGGCTTTGAGGGACGTAACGGTAAAGAGAGCACTTTGTGGATCGGCACCGAGGCGGCTAACACGCCCTGCCACCAGGACACATACGGCTTTAACCTGGTGCTGCAGGTTCAGGGACGGTAAGGAGACCAGTGTGTCCATAAAGGGACCGAGTTACTTTTGTTAAACCCAAACGTTCATAAAAAAGTGCCGTGAATGTTTTCTGCCTGTAAGGCGACTAACTCCTCTGTAACTCAGAGGAAGAAGAGCGATGGAGCTGCTGACTCTGCCCTCTGGAGAAGTTCATTTGTTGCTGTGCTCACCTGAGCTGGAGGAAAGTGGAGATGAAGAGGAGCGCTACAACATGGGTCACTTTGATGAAAAGGAAAAGGTCCACCTTATCGTGCTCCTGTGTTCTCTCGGAGAGCAACCGTTTTATCTCACAGCTCGTAATTGGTTCTCAGGGTCTTTTATTTGGTATTGATCCCAAATGGAATGAAATCCAGCTGAAGGAGTCCTTCGCCTCTGCTGGTCTATGAAAATACAACATAGCTGATTGATACCATGACATTTGGCCCCGTGGTAGGTCAGACAACCAGAAAGAGAGCAAAAGGGTTTTAAAACCGTCTGCTCAGGGATGAAGTTTAAGGCTTTACGTTTCTCGGAGGGTAAGAGTGGTGATTCCTCGGGTGAAAATATTATTATTTTAAGCATCTGCTGTTTCATCGAGGTGACCAGAACAGAATAAATAAACACTTGTTTCTTTATTCAAGTCATAATAGAAGTTTGGAGATCTGAATTTAACAGGAAATGAAAACCAAATCCAAACCTCGGTTTCCTCACAGGAAGCGCTGGCACCTCTTTCCACCAGAGGACACGGCGAACCTCTACCCGACCAGGATACCGTATGAGGAGTCCAGTGTCTTCAGCCAGGTGGATGTCCTCCGTCCAGACCTGCAGAGGTTTCCTGCGTTTCGACGGGCCAGAGCCCACGTCGTCACGCTCCAGCCTGGACAGGTGAGAACTGAACTCATGATGGATTAAACATCACGTTAGCGTGTCATAAATAAGGCCTGGCATCTTCTCGGCCGAGTGTGGTGCAAGTGCAGCATGACCAAACCAAGTCACTCGTGTTTCACTGTTTAGTTTAGAGCAGGAAGAAAAGAAAGGAGCAAAACAACATTAGAGACAAAGTACTGTATGATCAATTCAGTGACTGAGCACAGGTTGCACATCACAAAGTGGACCTGCAGATCAGATGAGAGGAAATAGGAAAGTGGAACAATTCCTGAGTCTGGATGATTAGAAGTGATTGTGTTCCTGTTGTCTGCGTGTCTGACGCGGCGTTCCGGGTTACAGAGATCGGATGTAAAGATGAGGCTTAATCACACATAGGTGATTCATAGGTCCCACGAATACCAGCAAAGGGGTAAAAGTGCATTCAAGACTATCTTCTTTCTCTGGGAAACTGCTTGATCGTGTAACATGAATGAGCAGAGATTATATTTAAACGTTTATAAATGCCTGCCTTGTTTTTAGGTAATCACAAAAACGAAGGAGTAAAAACACCCTTGTTAAGCACCTTGGGGGGGGGGGGGGGTCCAGGACTCTAGAAGGCGCTATATCAAACACAGGCTGTTTACCATAATGTGGCAGCAGGTGATCTGAATGAGATCAGAAATATTCTAAAGCTGAATGTTTGTGTAACCAAGTCCCTCTTTAGCCTGAGTGACATTTTTGACCTTTGCTCCTCTGATGTTTGATGTCATCGGCCATCTTTGTTCTCCAATAGTTCCCCAGAATAGTAACCTTTAACTCATCCACTCAGTTCTTTTATCTGGCCCTGATCTGTCATTTCCGTACAGTTAGCAGCGGTTGTGTCTGGATTGTTTTCTGTCTACATCCAAAAACAAAGTGTAGCTTGAATGCGTACATCTACCTTCTAAAAGATGGTTCCACCTCCGCTGATCTAATCAGGCAGCAGCTTGTTCCTCTCGACTAGGCAGACCACGGGCCACCGTTGCATCAGAGCTGAGGGATCGATAAGCCATCTTCTTTATAATAGAGCCGCTTTATGAATGGATGGAGCTCTAACAGTGTGGGCCGTGGTGTGTGCTGCCATCTAGTGGAGGATGTGGAGCTTCTCTTGGCTTTTAGCCACCAGGCTTTGGAATAAAGGAAGGGAAATGTGATGCAGCTGAACTTTTTATCTACTTTGCACAGGTGCTTTTTGTCCCCAGGCACTGGTGGCACTATGTGGAGTCGGTCGATCCCATCACCGTCAGCGTCAACACCTGGATTGAGCTGGTAACCGCATCCCTACTGTCCAAAGCCCTTCAGAGCTCTCCGTATTCCAGACAGAGTGTGCATGTCTAAACCCTGAAGAAACCCCACTGATATTGGTCCTAACAGTGATTGGTGCTTCCAGATTAAGCTCTCGTCTAATGTTTGAGTAATGAACAGGCCTTGCAGTTAGAGATTTGCTGTCAGTGCTGCTAAACAGATATTTATTCCAACAGCTCATCTCTAAGTTTCACTGTAAGGTCACAAGCACAACGAGCCGTGTCTGCGTCAAACCCCAAAGCGACAACTCCGTTATCGTTGAGGCGGTTTCACCGATCTGAATCTCTAACGCGGCTCTCTGCTGCTGCATAGGAAGTGGACAACGTGGCGAGAGTTACAGAAGCTGTGACCAGGACTGTCGTCTCTGCTGTTAAGAGCTCTGAAAGCGATGATAACACGGACAACTGGCTCAATCCCACAGAGGTAACAAACCATATCACTGTGTGACATTAATGATGAACCTGAGTACATTAAATAAAACTAACGAAGCTGCAGTTTGCTGAAACACTAGAAGTATATCCACTTTTCTGTTTGCAGAGAGTGTAGCTGGGTGTTTACATCTTTGTGTGTGTCCTGGTGTTTGGTGTCATCTTCTGTTGCATCCTTTAACTACACCCACACCACCTCTTCACACTCGTAACACGACAGACAGGTTTAGCCTTTATCCTAGACAACACATTGTTTCCATCCCACCCGTTTTTACTGCCTCTGGTTCCTGAGGTTGGTTTTGCTTCTTGCAAAAGTCTCCAGGTTTGATGGACATGGTTTTATTATCAGCCGATGTCTGCGTTAAAATGTCATTTCAGGTTTTACTCTTTTAATGACACAACGTTTACATGTGATGCGCATATTATACACCAAACTCATCAGCTACTTCCCCTCTCACTCAAAATGCCAAAATAAGAGAGATCCGATGTTTAGTTTTTGAGACGTTTTTGTTTGTTAGGCACAGTTCTTGACAACGTTGAGATCCGCCCTGTGCAGCGGGTGTTTGTCAATTTTATCTCAGAGAGAATGAGATTCAGCTGCTGTTGGAGACTAAATAAGCGTGGCACTCCCCCCCCCCCCCCCCCCCCCCCCATTGCCTCACTTAAACCAAAGTAGTTGTCATATTTTACTTAAAGGGACTATATGGAATGTATAGAAATAATAAATGTCTTCTTCATACATTCTCCTGCAATGCCCTGGTCCTGTAGAAGGAGCCCTGGCATTTTTGCTGTGATTGCCTGTTTTTCTGTAAAATCAGAGAAAAAGAGAGCTGCTCGGGTCGAGCAGGCTGCTTCATGCGCGTTCACGCTCAGGCATAGCCCGTAGCATTTGCTATCAGTAGCTTTAGCAGCAGAGAGCTGAGTAGTGCCAACTCAGCAACTTTGTTGCTTTTCCTAATGCCTAGTGATGAACCTAGCTACATTTCTGAGGACCCTTAGCTACTTTCTGTAGAACTTTCTTCTAGATATTTCCTGCAAATTAGCAACAAAATAGCCATTTTCACTCCGAATCGTTCTTTGAACGTTGTTTCAGCTGTCATCAAGGATGTAAACATTACAGATACAAATGACGTCGCTGGTGCTATAGCTACCTAGTAAGACGGCGGACTCTCGTGTGGAAGACCCGGGTTCGATTCTGGATGTGAACATAGTTTATTTAGAGTTTCTTTTTTACACTAATGGGATATTTTTTACAGTAAGATGCCCAAAAAATTTTTTGAGACTTGCCGAACGGCATTGAATTCACAGATTAAAAAGATGTGGGTTCAACTTTCATTTTGGAACAATTTTTCAAGCAAGGGAAGGGAATGATCTGAGCATGCAGGAGGACTGACCCATCATAAACCTTTGTCGGCTGTGCTGAAGAGAAAGGTACAGAACCAAATTATTTAATTAATTAGCTGCACATTCTCCTGTCCTCTGTCCTCCATGCTCGCCTCGTGCACGAGCCTACTATTGAAGCTGCCGTTACGCTTTTGGCCTGAGGGGGCAATTGCGAGCATAAAAATTCAAAACTCCGTCAAGTCCCTTTAAATGATGTTTAAAGTTTAAAAATGCTCAACAGGAGATAAGACGTTAGTCACCTAAAACCATTCAGTCTTTCTTTTTCATGGGGGGGGTGGGGGCAGCATATATTGTAGTTAGACCATATCGATAGATCGGACATCCGTAAATGTGCTTATATTAACCTTCCCAACCCCCCCCCCCCCCCCCCCCCCCCCCCCCCCCACACACACACACACACACACACACAGCTGAATTGTAGTATTGAAGTCACCCTGGATAACAGATGGTTTGCATCTGGCCACAGATCAGGGTGATTCGTCTGTCTCTTGTGGTGCAGCTGACCCCTAGCTCTCTGCAAAAGGCTTACGGGGAGGGGGGTCTGAAATGTCCTGTTAGGGATCATCATCTGTCTCCAGGGTCACAGCGTGAGAGGCTTTAGAGAGATGTTTAACCCTTTTGCAGGAACGTCTCAGAGGATGGTGGGAGGTGTGTAGTGTAGTGAAGGAAATGGAAGTTTAGCCCCAGGAATAAAGATTGTTTTATTAAGTAGCAGTGGTAGGTTTCTGACCTGCAACAGGAAAACTGGCTGCTGAACAAACAGCGTTCTCCAGGTTTCCTATTTACACAAAGTAGGTGGGCCGTTATGTTTCCCAGCTGATCTGAGCTTTGGAAGATTCAAGCATCATGTCAACAACATAGAAATATACAGTCAGGTCAATAAATATTGGGACATCGACACAATGCTAACATTTTTGGCTCTATACACCACCACAATGGATATCAAATGAAACGAACAAGATTTGCTTTAACTGCAGACTGTCAGCTTTTATTTGAGGGTATTACATCCAAATCAGGTGAACGTTGTAGGAATTACAACAGTTTGCATATGTGCCTCCCACTTGTTAAGGGACCAAAAGTAATGGGACAATTGGCTTCTCAGCTGTTCCATGGCCAGGTGTGTGTTATTCCCTCATTATCCCAATTACAATGAGCAGATAAAAGGTCCAGAGTTCATTTCAAGTGTGCCATTTGCATTTAGAATCTGTTGCTGTCAACTCTCAAGATGAGATCAAAGAGCTGTCACTATCAGTGAAGCAAGCCATCATTAGGCTGAAAAAACAAAAGAAACCTATCAGAGAGATAGCAAAACATTAGGCGTGGCCAAAACAACAGTTTGGAACATTCTCAAAAAGAAGGAACGCGCCGGTGAGCTTAACAAGTGGGAGGCACATATGCAAATTGTTGTAATTCCTACACCGTTCACCTGAGTTGGATGTAAATACCCTCAAATAAAAGTTGACAGTCTGCAGTTAAAGCACATCTTGCTCGTTTCATTTGACATCCATTGTGGTGGTGTATAGAGCCAAAAATGTTAGCATTGTGTCGATGTCCCAATATTTATGGACCTGACTGTATGAAGGACTTTTTGGACTCTCTAGGTGGAGCAGAACGGGGACGTTTGTATCCTGGAGGTTGGTCTCAATCAAATTCTTTATTTAAAAAATAAATAAATATAAACAAGCAAGGTGGGTCTTCTCTCTATCTTTCTACCAAGACATATGGTGGCAGTGATGAGATTGCTTATGTTGTTTTGCACCTGAGCTGAGGAGCATCTATGGCCGAAGCAGACGGCACATCCCCAACACAAAAAGGGTATAGACTGGGGCGGAGCCACTGCATTAATCCCAAACCTTCAGAGCAGAAAAGCCTTAAATGAGATTCTTGTTTCTGCGTTTGGTTGAACTGGGAAAAACAAATATTAGACCCTTTCAGAACATAAAAAACCTGGTATTGTCTTCTGCTGCAGTAGTCCACCCGGAGACAGGAATAAGACGTTACTGTGAGGCAAGAAAGTTCAGTGTCTGGTTCTGTCACTTGTTGCAGAGAATCCAGCTGTTTGACTTAGTTTTTTGTTTGTTTTGTAAAAATTGGTTTGATTCTTATTCTTGTATCATTGTATTTTCCATCTTTTCTGGTAGGAAGGAGTCCCCTCCCACAGAGAAAACATGCAGTATCTGAACCTGGCTGTGAGGGCTTGTGCTCAGAGAACCAGGAGTCTGAGTCCAGATCTGACAGAAGCTCGGCCAACAAAAAGGGACTCTAGAGGACAAGTGAAGAAACACAGAGACAGGGCCGATGCTTCTGAGGTGTTTGAGGTGCCGCTTGGGCCACATCTCATCCCTGTGTCCTGTCAGCACGATGAGTGGAAGAAAACGGTCCCAGAAGACTCGGAGATCAACGCTTCTCAGGAGGACAGTGCTGGTGGCTCAGAGGGATCAGTGGGAACTAATCCTACCAGACCTTCTCAGGGAAAACAGTCATGTGGTGCTGGTTTACCTCCACGTGACTGTGCTGAACAGGAGCATGATGCACCAGAGGATTGTGCAGAAGAAAACAGGAGCTTAAGACACACATCGATTACCACTAATGACCTGTTAGACTGTCTGGTGCATCCTGATGTCATCAGTCACATCACTGAGCTGCTCCTGGAGAGACACATAGGTGGCCATCTTTAATTTTCACCTGTCATTAGGAAGTGAACGGGTGTTTGTTTAGATGGCTCAGATGTGAGAGGACACGTGTGATGATCCACACCACCGGGTGGATCTGACAGTTCCTCTTGTCGTTGTCCTAAACATGTTAATCTGATTTGGTTTCCAGAAGGGGCAAAAATGGCCGCCGCAGTCGAGTTAGTATTCTAATAAACAGAATAACTCAAGATACTGTTCCAGCGGTGCAGACGTCTGTTTCCTGTAGGGATCTGATCAGGAGTGTTTGTCCAGACGAGTTCACGTTGTACAGAAGTTAAAGGGATAATTTGCAGCTTTTTCATATTTTAAAGTACTTTTCTTGAGCCAGTATGTGCTAAAATGGTCATTTACAGGGTTAATAAAAATTCACTCAGACCCATACTGCCCTCTGTGGCCAGAAAACCGCATTTGCAACTTCAGAGTGCTTGGAGATCATGAACACAACTGATTTGTTTGGTGATGAATCACACCTGCAGGCACTAAGGAAGGCTGGGAGACATTTCAGCTGTTAGATTAAGGTGTTGAAAAGACAAACGCACAATGAGAAGATAAGTTTTGCTTTCAGTCCCACAAACGGACACTAGGGGGTGCTAAAAGCAAGCCAAAACCTAGTCTCCCTATAAAAACCAAGATGAAAGAATAAAAATGTCAAAGCAGGTTTTAGCATCATGGTCATTTATTTTATTTACATGTTTTCAGGGATCAGCTTCATTTCCACTTTCCCTGAATCGAATCATAAAATAAGCCCACAAAACAAACACAACGGATCAGGTTTATATGTGGAGGCTGACGGGTTTCAACACACCAGTCCTCGTTCCTGTAAACGACCCCGCTAACGCTGTGGGGTTGATCATGAACAGATCTGCAGAAATACAAACAAAGCCATTATACCCGTCATGTGTGTGTTTACTGGTAAACCGGCTGATATGCCATCAGACTTTAGAAATCCTTCAGTTAGTTACGTTAAGACTAGAATGGTCTCTGCTGGTGTCATAGACACGCTGTGTAAACCTGTAGTTAATAGTTATAACACAGAAAACAGCATGTTAACACCAAGATGCAGCACATATATACAGATTCTTAACATCTACAACAACACCATGAAACAATCACATTATCTGGTCAACACTTTTTCACATAGTTATTCTGCCTGTTCCATTAGAACAAACAGGATGGTGAGGAAGGTGCACAAAAGTACATTTTGCTGCAAAAAAAACACAACTTCAGAATAAGATAGGTCTCACAATCACATCTTCACTTTTATCTGAATAAACCCACGGGGACCCGGTTACAGCCTGGTGCTCTTCCCCGCTTTGTTCAGCTGGATCTCTTCGTTTTTCTTCTTCATGTTGTCATCCTCGTCTTCGTCCCATCTCGAGTCCTCCAAGAAAATCTTGTCCAGCTGTTCGGGGTCATTGTTTGTGTAGAAGTAGGCCATGATGGAGAAGATGACGCAAACGCCCAGCAGGAGGCCGGCAAACAGCAGGAACTCCTTCCACTGAGAAGATTATCCATGTTAGTGCAAAAGTGACACTCGGGGGTGTGTGTGTGTGTGTGTGTGGGGGGGGGGGGCACAAAGTCGTACCTGCTCCAGTCCTGCACCTTCGGCCACAATCAGCACTATCACGTTCCCAAACGCCACCGTGAGCAGCCAGCCGGCCTGCAGGACCGACTTCATGTTGGTTGGAGCCTGGAGGAAAAATAAACTACGGGTGAAGAAAAGATACAATTCCTAACAGGTTTAGGGAAAAAACATCTTTTTTTTTGTATTTATTTATTTTTTTCCCTCTGTTCTCTCCTGAGGGTTGTCGGGGTCTTTGTTGTCCTGGTCCACATGAAACGTGTGTTAAACGTAGATGAACTTTATTGGGTGTGTTGAACAGAGACCAGGAGGCATCCCGAACCACCTCAGCTCCAAATCCCCCTGCAGCCGTTAAACTCACCCCCATGAGCCAGCCTCCTCATGGAGCAGCCCAGTAAATCACAAGCTTTCCCTTTTGGCCCCCGTCCAACAGAGCAGAGCGCCGCCCTTGTGGACATCTGTCCATCAACAACACCAATAAACTCCATTCAAGGATCACCTGACTCAACTCGGATCCTTCATTAAAATGCATTTTGGAGATCTCTGCTGAACTTCACATGCTTAACTCGTATTAAGCTTCCTCACAGTGAAACGGCCTGAGATTGTCCTCCACCATTCCACTGAGATAGACGCTCTTCTAGCAGCTTCAGGCCAGAACCATCAAGTGAGTTTAACGTTACTGTAATGTTGGTTTTCTTTGTGGGTTTCCCTTTTTCACCCATAAAAGCAAACACTGGATTCCCAAGGAGCTCAACGCTGTTGTCCTCTGACAAACAGCTTATTTCAGCATTTATATTAACTTCTGTTTGCATTTTTGTTCCCTCCTGGGCCTGAGCTCTTCAGCTCTAGTTCATCGTGCAGCAAAAAGAGCAAAATGCAGCACTTGGTGTTTCTTCCTCTCTAATCCCAGACTCTTTACTGGACCACTGGAAGCACCATGAGAGTGTGGTGGTGGTGGTGGTATACCTGTGAATAGGAGAACTCCAGGCCCGTGATGGAGAACATGACCTCTCCTGCGGTCAGGAGAACGTATTGGGGGATCTGCCAGGCGATGTGCACGTTGTTGGCTTCCACGTCCTCCATCCTTTTAGCCACAATCGTACCTGATTCCTGTCGAGACACAGAGCAGGTTCGTCTTGTGTGACTGATGAGTTCTGTAATATAACGAAACAAAGCTTGCTGACCTGGAGGAGGATGAACGTGTAGGAGGCTCCAAAGTCCAGCAGGCCCAGATTCAGACTGTCACAGGTCTCTGGCCTGGCGCTGCAGTTCACTGATGGGTACCTGCACAGAAATGGGATGAATCTTTTTTTAATCTAAACCCGACTTTGCTCCCTTTGAGAAAAAACATCTCATGAATTCAAATGTTTATCTTAGCAAACATCTGCTTCTCATCTGGATCTGTCTGTGGGGCCCTCATTAACGTGATGTTCAAACCCGACACCCCGCAGGCGTACTCACTCTCCTCGATCCACGCTCTTGTTTGGAGTCATGCTGTAATCAGAGGGAACGTAAAACTGCTCACGTCCAACCGTTAGGTTCACGGGCTCTGGCCGAGTGTTGAAGAACCTGGCAAAACCAATTCAAAAGGGATCATGAAAAGTTTTTGGTATTTGACGGTTTGCGACCTTTAGTCACAAAGTACTTTTACCTAATATTAGGGTTCCCGTCTTCATTTTTCTTTATGTAATCTTCTACCTGATCAGTGAGAAACATCCAGGTCAGTAACGCTAACTCGTCTGTGTTTGATCTCTTCAGTGTCAAAGATCTGGGCTCAAACCAAGTTTCTTTAAACATCACAACTACTTTTCTAGCATGTTTTACATTAAACATGGTTGATTTTACTCTAAATATAATCTGAATTTAACAAGAGTGTGACCAAGTTACTGCTTTGCAAGTCACAAGTAAGTCACAAGTCTTTCCAGTAGAGTCTCGAGTCAAGTTCAAGTCAAAGACGTCCAAGTCGAGTCCAAAGTCAATGACCTGGAAGTCCAAGTGAAGTCCAAGTCTGTAACTTTATTTTTCAAGTCATAATCAAGTAATCTGTCCAACTTCAATTTAATGGCAATGATAATAAATAAATTCCAGAATAAAAGCTTCGTTTATTTGCTCAAACAAGCAGGAAGTGCAACTGAAACTGATTATAAACAAAGAGCTGCTGCATTTAGCAGTAAATCAACCCCAGAATGAAGAATGATTCATGATTTTTGTCCATGTCGTGCCACTTTTGTGCTGAAATATCAAATATGGTCAAGTCAACAGATGCAAGACGATTCAAGTTGCAAGTCATTGGCGTTCAAGTCCGAGTCAAGTGGTAAGTCTTTATAGATTTTATCAAGTCAAGTCAGAAGTCATTAAACTGATGAGTCGAGTCTGACTCGAGTCCAAGTCATGTGACTTGAGTCCACACCTCTGGAATTTAACATCCAGACCCAATAATTCAGAAGAGCTGAAGGCCGCCATCAGAGCAGCATCATAAGACCTGATGGACTCCACGCCACGCTGCACCGCTGCTGTAATCCAGGCCTATGGAGCCCCAACTAAATACTGAGTGCTGCACATGCTCATACTCTTCAGCTGGCCAAACTTTCTAAAAATCCTTTTTTTTACGTTGTCCTTGACATTTTATTATTTTATGTGCATAATCTGAGATACTGAAAATTGAGATTTACATTAGTTGTCAATTCAATTCAAGTTTATTTATACAGCGCCAAATCACGACAAGAGTCGTCTCAAGGCACTTCACATAATAAACATTCCAATTCAGGTCAGTTCATTAAGCCAATCAGAAATTATGTTTCCTATATAAGGAACCCAGCAAATTGCATCAAGCCACTGACTAGTGTCAATGACTTTACAGCAATCCTCATACTAAGCAAGCATATAGCGACAGTGGAGATGAAAACTCCCTTTTAACAGGAAGAAACCTCCAGAGAATCCTGGCTCAATATAAGCAGCCATCCTCCACGACTCACTGGGGATCGAGAAGACAGAGCAGGCACACACACACACACACACACACACACGCACACACACACACGCACACACACACACACACACACACACACACACACACACACACACACACACACACACACACACACACACACACACACACACACACACACAAGCAATGTGTCTATGGTTACATTGTGATTTCTTAGTAAATATTCTATTTGTCAGTTATAATAATCAAAAAATTAAAGAAATAAACATTTTAAATATATCAGTCTGTCTATAATGAATGAATATAATATACAAGTTACATTTGTTGGAATGGAATTTCTGAAATAAATCACCTTTGTGGTGATATTGTGATTTCATGACCAGCACCTGTAAATGTTTAACTCAAACACCATCCACTGACTCTAGGACCTGATTATTCATGCTGCTAGAATACGTTTTCTTATACAAACACTCACCATTTTGCACTTAATTCCACTATTCGTATTGTAAATGATGAGACTGTAAGCCTTCTGCTCTTCAAACGTCTGCTCACACACTGATTCCTTTCCAGAAAGTGTGACCGCAATTCCCAGGACCTTGCTGGAAGCCTCGAGGAGGAGTGTTTCATAATTCGGAAGGTCCTGGAAGACAAAACAAGGAGATAAGTGTCAAGTTCTTGTTGAAATTTGCTAATTACATTTAAAAAAGTAAAACAACACTAACGAAACAGGAGACTAATAATGATGCCCATCTAAAATGGAAGTGATCAAATGGCACTAAGCGGTTGGAACACAAGGATGACCTGGCTGCTGAAAACTTCCTGCATTAGCAGAGACATCTACCTGAAGGTCCTTGATTGGGTCTGGAAACACATCATTGTCTGGGACCTTCACACTGATGTCTCGTCCTGCCAGGTTATAAACCTGCAGGAGACACTTCCCTGCAGGAGCTGGTTCCACTACGGTTTTCTAAGAGAGAGAGACACCAGAGCACCACACCGATGACCATCACAAAAACCTGCACGCTGCTAATTACATGCATCGTGGAGAAAGGCTTGGAGGTGAAGAGAATAAAGTTGCTCATACGTACCACAACATTGACCTCCACAAGAGTGGCTGCTCCAAAGGCGAGCGCTGCAAAAATCATCCCGGTGGCCATTTTCCTGAGAGGCCTGAAGGCAAGCAGGCGGTAAAAACCAGACACTGAACTTTTTGTTTATAAGAGCCGAATATCTGAGACACGACAGGTTGGTTAGATGGCTCAGAACCAATTTCATTTGTTGAAAAGTTAATTTTCTATTTCTCATGTACTTCATGTGTGACAAAAAAGCAACAATGTACGGAAACTAGGAAGCACCAAATGTTTACGAGTTAAAGGGTAAACATCTGAGGCGTCGTTTTTGGATGATGGTGTGAGGTCACATGACTCATTTACCAGTAAACAGGCCTTTAAAATGCTCAGGGGGGTGCCATCTAGTTAACGGCAGCGTGACTCTTGTTGCGAATGACTACAGTACCAATTCTTCTGTACTGAAACAATTGCCCCTCGGAGATGATTAAAGTTTTTTTGAATTGATAAAAGCGGGAGGATCCCAAACAACGGGTTTACTCACCTGATGTTGATCCGACACAGGCTGACGAGCGGATAGATGATGAGGTCAAAGATGGGCACAAAGAGCAGAATCATCAGAGCATTCAGCATCTACACAGCAGAGGAGAGGACACTGACCTGTAAACGACTATAAAAGTTCAATAAAAATCATACAGGCTCGGTTCCTGCTCCGCTGTGATTGGAAAGAGATGGAAAGATGGATGTGATAAGTAGCTATAAAGCTTGTTGACCTTTTTCTCCAACAACATTTAGGTGAGTTTATGCAGGACAGAAGATAAAAAAAAAAACATTTTTATCTCGACTGAGTCAGACATGGCCCAAAGTTTACTTATCATTCAGACAGTGGCTCTTATTTAACCGCTGTAAACTCGTCCCTGACCATATTTCCTATAAAAGGGGTTAAAGATGGAACATTTGTGTTTCAAAGGTCTGTATTTCCAATAAAACACCAACTTTTGCACAAGTCAATCGTTAATGTCGGTATTGGACCGTCACATGCTCCATAACAGCTGAAACTTTCCAGGTTGGAGAGGATTTTATTCAGTTTATGGCCAACAAACATGAAAGGGGCTAACATGGTAACCGTCAGTCATATGAAGACAAATGCTGTCTACAGGAAGGGTTTACTTCACCAACACAAGAACAACGGTGTTGCTATGGTGATTTGTTTTTTAAAAATGCTCTAGTATTAATTTCAGACGAAGGCTGAAGTTCTTCTGGTTCGAGAGGATTTTATTGTTTAAAGAGACAATGTGTAGTTGTTATAGTTAAGATCTGGAAGTATCCATCAAAATGTTGTTGAAAATGAATGAAATGATGACCAGTTGTTGAAAATTTTTGGTGACTTCGTAACATATCACCATATCACCCCTCAACCCAATCCTAACCTTAAGGTCACAGTATATGGACCTTAAAGCGACTTTACGGACTTTTGAATTTTTATGCTCGTGATTTTCCCCTCAGGCCAAAAGCGTAACGGCAGCTTCAATAGTAGGCTCGTGCACGAGGCGCGCATGCTGTGCGTGCACACTCAACAAAAAGAACAGCTGATACAGTCCCGTGTGTGTGTGTGTGTGTGTGTGTGTGTGTGTGTGTGTGTGTGTGTGTGTGTGTGTGTGTGTGTGTGTGTGTGTGTGTGTGTGTGTGTGTGTGTGTGTGGCCCGGAGGACAGAGGACAGGAGAACGTGCAGTTAATTAATTAAATAATTTGGTTCTGTACCTTTCTCTTCAGCACAGCCGACAAAGGTTTAAGATGGGTCAGTCCTCCTGCATGCTCAGATCATTCCCTTCCCTTGCTTGAAAAATTGTTCCAAAATGAAAGTTGAACCCACATCTTTTTAATCTGTGAATTCAATGCCGTTCGGCGAGTCTCAAATAAAAATTTGGGCGTCATATTATGGTAAAACAATTATCATTATTGTAAAAAAGAAACTCCAAATAAACTATGTACACACCTGGAATCAAACCCAGGTCCTCAGCAAGAGAGTCAGCCATCTTACTAGGTGAGCTAAAGCACCAGTAACATTTGATGTATCTGTAACTTTTACATCCTTGATAACAGCTGAAACAACGTCAATCCAAAGAACGGTTCGGAGCGAAAATGGCTATTTTGTTGCTAATTTGCAGGAAATATCTAGAAGAAAGTTCTACAGAAAGTAGCTAAGGGTCCTCAGAAATGTAGCTAGGTTTGTCACTAGGCGTTAGGAACAGCGACAAAGTGGCACTGCCTCTCTCTCTGCTGCTAAAGCTACTGATAGCAAATGCTACGGGCTATGCCTGAGCGTGAACGCGCATGAAGCAGCCTGCTCGACCCGAGCAGCTCTCTTTTTCTGTGATTTTACAGAAAAACAGGCAATCACAGTAAAAATGCCAGGGCTCATTCTACAGGACCAGGGCATTGCAGGAGAATGTATGAAGAAGACATTTATTATTTCTATACATGTTTTGGCTGTCAAACTTCCATAATGCCCCTTTAATCTGCTGTTTACCAACTCCACCATTCCCAGGATCCACTGATTACCTCTTTCTTATTCATTTTCTCTCTCCCTTTTCTCACGTTTTTAATCACAATTTTTTACATTTCCCAATTTTATATTTTTGAATCATTTTAATTTGTTTTTTAATTTTTATTCTTGCGAAGCGCCTCATGGGTTTTATCTCGAGAGGTGCTAAATAAAATATACTTTCTTATTATCATTAGCACATAAATACAGGGAGGCAGTGATCCTTTTCCTATTGGACCTGACACCTGAAAATGGGTGTGGTCCTATCTCACAGGAAGGAGCTTCTGTGTCAGGATGGGTGATGCTCACCCAACAGGGTCGATCTCACCTGGGGGGGGGGTGCCACAAAAGTTCATTTCTGCACCTACCTGCATCTGGTCAGGCTTGATAGTGAAGGACTCTCCCTGTGAGCCAACAGGAAAGAAGCAGGTCAGAAGTTTAAACTTTAACTCTGTTAAAGACCTGATGAGTATCTGATTCATCAGTCATAAACAAGATAGTTTACTGGAATAAAACAACAAACTGCAGCAACACGCCAAAAAGTCCACGTCTGATGTCAAAGTGCATTTGGTTTTGATCATTTTGGGTAACGCAAGGAGAATCTTACAAAAGCCAGGTTCATTCTTGTGGCTTGGAGCGTCCAGCGAGAACCCTGCAGGACAGAAAACCCCAATTAGATCAGCTGTGACTACAGAAGAACTGAAATGTCACACCAGCCAGGATAATGGTGAAAAACTGGTTAAACAGCTAACAGGCTTTTCTGGGAATCAGAGTTTGTTTGCATTTTTGGACACTTTTTAAACAGCCGTGAATAAACTGTGAATAAATAACAATCTCAGGACAATAAGGTGCAGGAATGTTGGAGCTTTTAAGGTTTTCTGTAATCGAGCAGCAATTTCAAGGTTAAATTAGATGGGGGGATGAAGTCCATCTTGCCTAGGGCCCCCAAATATCTTCAAATGGCCCCGGCTGCAGGAAATTTAAAATTCTGTAAAACTTTGTTTTCATTCTGATATTTGTGCTAAACAAAGTCATAAAACTGTCATTTTGTTTTAAATGTATCTTGTTCTGTGGCCAAGCAGCAGAATATCACAATTATATTAAAAAGCAATTCTTAAAAACCAGTTTCACTTGCTAATATTAGCCGTTAGCTCCTTTCTAAACTATTTCTCTAAACAGAGGCTGTTCAGGAAGCTATCCATAATATATAAGATAATAAATTCCCACTAAACTGCTTTTGATATTTAAACTGTAGCTCATAAAAACAGGATGTGCAGATCTGCGCTGAGTCTTCCTGTACCTGCTGATCAAACAGAGCCCAAAACATCGGCAGAGGGATGTAGAGCACCAGAACCCGCAGGACCATCCTAATCTCCTCAATCAGGCGCTTCTGTTGGGAAAAGAACACAATAAACGGATTTAATGTTTCCAGGAATTTACAGTTTACGTTCTCAGGAATCATTCTTGAGGAAGGTTTTCGTACCGAGTACTTGTCCTCAGCCCAGTCCAGCCAGTGCGTCCTCTTTGGGGCAGACTTGGAGCTGTTCCAGCGGTTTTTAATAGCAAACTGCAAACAAAGATTCAGAGAAAGCAGAGTGGGCAAACACTGAACTGATTTAAACTGATGTGATTGGTCTGAGACGAGATCACTCACACCGATGCAGTTGCAGACTTGCAACAAGATGTTTCCCTGAGGTGGATTCTTCTTGTAAAGACTGCTGCCAAAAATGAACACGGCTGCGGAGGATGCATGAAGAATCAGTGTTACAATCACATAAGGGTGAGAAACTACAGGATCTAAGCGCCTCGTCATGTTTCTGCGGTTCAGCAACACCGTTTGGACTGGACCGATCCTCCAGTCTCATCCTTCCTGTGATTCATCCCTCTGGTTTCCTTAAATCATACTTTGTTTTTCCAAAAACCAGCCAGTCAGGCATGAATTTCAGAGACCAGGGGTGACAGGGACCAACAGGCAGAGAAAACGGGCTGTCAGGATGCATGAGGATGAGCCCAACTTGTAAAAACACAGCCTCTGCATTAACATCACAGCCTGATGAGGATGAAACATCAGCTTATGAGTCAAACTTTCCTAAGAAGGTTTTCTGCTTTGCACTGCTTCTCATCTGTCACTGTCACATTAGTTTCAGTTCTGGATTTAGGACCAATAAAGCATCCAATCAGGCTGCAGTGGTGTTGTCTCATCGCAGCTCCAGCAAATGTGAGGAAGTGCCTAAATTAGTTCTGACGGGATCATTCTGCTAACTCACAGGCTGCAAAAGCTACAATCACTTATCGGGAAAACTTGCATGATCTTAAATATCAATGGTTTCCCAACCAATGACACTAGGTTTCCAGTCTCTAGAACAGGGGTCCCCAAACTTTTGGAGACCGTGAGCTACTTTTACACAATGAAAGTACAGAAGAGCTACCGCCATAAGATATATCCATATTGATGCTTCCTATGTGTGAACATGTTTACTATGTTAAAAAATGCCATGCTAACTACATCAACATGCATTGTATTCTCAAGTTATTTTCTCTGAATTTCCAATTCATCAATATTGTAAAAAATAAAATTAAAAAGGAAAAGGAAAATAGTGACAATACTTTTTTAAAACTCTAACTAAACTAAACAATTTGTTTTTTAACTAATCAGACACTTTCAGATCCATCCACTTTCAGCCGCTTATCCGGGGTCGGGTCGTGGGGGAAGTAGTCTAAAAGGCCCAGACTTCCCTGCCCTAGCCACTTGGGCCAGCTCCTTTGGAGGGATCCTAAGGTGTTCCCTGGCCAAGTGAGAGACATAGCTTGCGACAAATGTGTTGCAGACCCCTGCTCTAAAGACTTAAACCAATAATCATAATAGATTTTATCAATTTATCTTGGTTATTCGTGTTTTCTGTGAGATCTACCTTTGAATTTCCTCCACTGTAGAGGAGCAAACACACGCGACTGCGTGAGTTCACAGGAACTCACCTAAAGCCACCATCATCAGAGCTGCAGGAACTCCAAAGGCCAGAGCGTAGCAGTCTTCACCAAAACACTTCACGTCCCCTGCAGAGGTGGCGTGATGTTAAACACTCAGCAGCCCATGGCGGCCGTGCAGCGCACGTAGGACATGGTGAATGCTCACCTCTCAACACGGGAGTGATCACAGTAGACAGGAGGCTTCCGGCATTGATGGACATGTAGAAAATGGAGAAGAACTTTTGCCTTTCTTTCATCTAGATAGGAACAGAAAAGAAGTTAACCATGAGACCCAACTCTTTAAGTTTGCAGTTGGAATGACTAAACTTGTATGGCTGATTTGGAAGGGTAGCCAGAAAAAGAAAAAAAATCTCTCAAAACTTCAGGCTTACCAGGATACGTCTGGGCTAACCACCAGGTTTCTGAAACACTCGTCTCTCCAATATTCTGGAGAAATCCTACTCATTACAGTTTAGTCTAGCTGTCAGCACGGTGGTGGAGTTATGATGATGCGGATCTCCTCTGTAGACTAACGTATTCTAGAGTCTGATGCAAGTCTGTCTGACAGCTAGTTTGGACCAAACTGGGTAACTAAACAGAAAAATGACCCCAAATACAGCAGATCTAACACAAAACAGCTGAACAATGTTTTCAATCAAGATGGAGCAATGCCTCCACCAATCTGGACCTCCACTTGATTAAATATCTCAATGTAAGACAATTTGAACACATTAATACTCATTTATTTGTTTGAATGAAAGTTCTACTAAATAAGAAGTGTGTGTAAGAACACACACACACATCCACGTTTGGTGGTAGTCGCTTGGCAACTACAAAAAAATCCAGGAAATAGGTAGATGTTCCAACCGTAGACCTGAACATATCTTTTCAATCTTTACAGGAAAGCCTGGCATTCCTTTTACTGATGAGGGAGTGGAGGAGGAAGATGCCGGCAGCAGGATGAAGAACTGAATGTGGCTGTTTATAATAAACAAGTAGAGGCATCCATCAGAAGCCAGTGATCATCTTACTGTGTTTGTGTGACTGGACACAACATTTAGAACCTCATCAGTGTTTACTGAGCCACCTACTGACCTACTGAATGCAAACACTAAGAGAGTCTTACGCTGTCCTCGTCGAACTGGTCTCCTCCGAATGCCGCCACGCAGGGTTTGATTCCTCCGGTGCCGAAGGCTATGAGGATCAGGCCCAACATAGACAGAGCTCTGTAGAGCGTGCACGCGCACACACACACACACACACACACACACACACACACACACACACACACACACACACATAAACACACTGCTGGTGGACAGTGTTGATAAATAACTACATAGTTTTACAATCTGTGGTTATAAATTCAATTGCAACCATTCAGAGATTTTTTTTCCTTTCATTAAATTTTTGATCAACTAAAATGAAGCTTTTGTAAAAGAATTACTCAAGCTTAATCCAAGACAGGCTTGTTGTTCCCTTCTCAGTTCATTGAGACAATGCTGGAAACTGATGTGATCTAAATCAACAGAAAACAATAACTTGTAAACGTGCTGAAACACTCGTATGGGCCGCAGGTGCGTTAAAGAGGGATGCGTTCCATTCTGAAGTCATTCTGCTTCTTAGCAGGTTTACCGGACAGCCAGCATGCACAGGAGTGGAATGCAGCCCTCGTTAACTCATCTGTCTGTCACCTAAGCCCCCTTTAGACAGGCCATGAAAAACAGAAATGTTCTTTGTGTCTGAATTTGTGTCTGACATCCGGATAACCTTTTCCATAATTAAACCGGACGACGCCCCTAGTAACAGGTCCGGACTTGTCACGGACAGGGTGGCTGCTTCAGACTGGTGAGGTCGAGTTCCGGACAGGGACGAGGGGGAGGAGGAGGAGGGGGCCGGAGGACGCTGTGCACGCCTAGATAGCTTGCTCCTGTAGCATGCGGCGAACCATGGCAGCTCGCCTCCTACGGTACCGTCTCCTAGATGCGCAACGGAGCTCTTCACACCGCTTCCGTGATTCCTTTATTAACCATTGAGCTTCATCATCCAGGTCTCTTATGCGTCTTCGTGTGTGCAGAATTATGCTTAACATACGGTAAGTCTGATCAGTGAGAGGAATTCTATCTCTTCGTCGGCCATGTTTGACTGAATGGCTTTGTTTGGGTAAATGACGCATGTACGCCCGCCGCACTATGTTTACGCAATATCCGGGTACAGCCTTCCCACCCCCTCCCCCTCAGACATCTGGAACTTTTCCCTGCTGTGTGAAGGCAGCCGAAAGGACAAGTTCAGGTACAAACGTGGTGTGTCTGAAAACACAGTTCTGGTTAAAAACCGGACTGAATTCTCCACACATATTCCAGAATGTCAATCTGAAAAGGGTTCAAGTGAATCTAAAATGAATCAAACCAGGGTTGTGTCCAAATTCAGGGGTTGCGTGCTCATGAGGTCGGATTTTAAGACCAGTGACGTCACAGCACCGTGACGAAGACTGTTCAAATTCAATGAGTGCTCAGAATGTGGTGTTGAAAGCCATTCTTCTTTTCCCTGAATTTGAGAACAAGGTACGGTGTAGTCTCCTCACTCCTCTAAATATCAATGCACTGCAGGACAAGTGTTGTGAGAAATTCTGTTCCCCTGAAATCTGTTCCCACATGTCCGGAGGTCGCACTTCAGCCTATCTTCACACCATTAGTGATCGACTTATACGGAAAAATTATGTAATGTAATAATGTCATACTAGTGATGTTTTTTTTTATTTACATTTCCTCCTAAAACATTAAAAATGTACAGTAAAAACTTGCTGTTCACTCTTTTCTAGTAAATGTTTTTAAGTTATGTAAAGAGATGTAATTTCGCTCAGTTTAACCATCTTTTATTTGAGGATGTTTAGTCCTCTCACAATGGACATTAAGTCCTGTCAATTTGGAATTTTGGAAATATCTGTTCTTTATTAAGTTATTAGGGGAAACATAATATTTTAGGGGAACAGAATTTCTCAGAACACCGGCGGTACATCTGCTGTAGCTCTTCAAACAGTAACAAAACAAGAAAAAAAGTTTAAAACATGTGCAAGCTTGCTGTATGTCACAGAACCCACAACAGCATTACCATGCTTAAAGGACATAATCTTTACATACGAATATTTCTCAGGCTATGATTTGAACCTAGATAAAACAGTGGCCATGGATATAGGCGGCAACATCTCAGATACGACTAAACTGCAGAGTGGGTTTAAATGGCCAACAGATGGCATTAAATACCTAGGCATAAATATACAGCTTTCCTTACAAAAACTTTATGAGGTGGATTACAAGAGTTTGATTCTTAATATTAATAAGGACTTAAATTGATGGTCAACATTAACTCTATCTATGCTGGGCTGAATTGAGACAGTCCAAATGAATGTGCTCCCAAAATTATTATACTTGTTCCAATGCTACCTATCGATATCCCCAAATCTACATTTGACAAATGGGACAAGTTAATCTCAACATTTATCTGGCAGAAAAAGCATCCAAGATTTAGACTAAAAGTACAACAGCTATCTAAAGCAAAGGGAGGTCTCAAGCTACCTATTCTGAGATATTACCACTGGGCAGCACAACTAAAACCACTAATAATATGGATGCTGGACTTGTCTCATGCACGCCGGCTCAATATTGAGAAGAGCTTATGTGATAGACCCTTACACGCCTTACCACTCTTAGATGTACATCCAAATTAGGGCTGCAACAACGAATCGATAAATTCGATGAAAATCGATTACTAAAAGCGTTGGTAACGAATTGCGTCATCGATTCGTTGTGTTGCGCAACTCTTCCAAAAGCCCCCTCCCCTCCCGCCCGCCGTTGCGCGCAGACCGGTGGAGAGCCGGCAGGTGTTTAACATGGCAGAAGCAGCGAGACCCCAAAAAGTAAAAACTTCTAAAGTTTGGGAGCATTTTCAGTTAAATCAGGCGAAGACATGCAACGTTTGTAGGTCAGACTTAGCTTGGCACGGGGATACTACGGTGATGATGCAGCGTCTTAAACACAAGCATGTCAGAATCATCAGCGAGGAAGGAGAGAGCTCGGTGTCCGGGTAAGTTAAAAACTTTTCAAAAGTGATTCACCCAAGCCCCGGATTATTACACAGGCTAGACATGCCCTAAGCTCGTTAATAAAATCGTAAGCGCGACGCTATTAGATAGGCGGGGGGGGGGTGGGGCTCGCACCGCCGCGAACCGGTTCCGCCGTCACATTCCCGCAGAAACTGGTTGATCACACTGGGGCCAGACTACTAACATGTGGTTTTACAACCACAATGTCCTCAGAAGCGAAAACGCTTTTAAAAGGGAGGGAGGAGTCCTAACTGTTGCTGCAGGCGTGTTGTGTGAGTGCAGTTATATACTGGTTAATATATTTTTGGGTTCAGTTGCTTTCATGTGGCCTAATGTGAGTCTGTTTGGGATCATTGGAATGATCAGCAGCATTTCTTGATGTGACTTTATGGCAGTTGCCCAGGGCATCATCGCAAGGAGGATGGCATTCATTTACTTTTGTTTTATTTGATATTTTTTTCAGTCATTTTTGGAAATAGTGATTAATTTTGATTAATTCACAGCCTATGTTTAATTACATTTAAAAATTAGTTGTTTGACATCCCCAATTATAATGTCTACAGATGAGATCAAACAAAACAGATGAGAATTGCCCTTAAAGAGCAAGTCACCCCCAAATAAACTTTTTTTGCTGAAAAACTAAATAAACGAGTGTCTAATCGTGCTGCAGACACGTGTCGTCAATAATTTGGCACTTCAGTGCATCTTAGTTAAAATTTAAATATTCTGCCTAAAACTGGCAGTGTTGTGCCGTTGTCAGGTAAAAACTCTGCACTGTATTTTAATTTAAATCTGCCACCGCTATTGGCTAAGAATTATGTCACAATGCTGTCGTGAGCCTGAGTGTGTGTGTATTTGTTAGCGGCTCCGCCCTCTCGGTCTGCCAGGCAACAGCATGTGTTGCATTTTTCAAACATGAAGCGGGAGTGGAGTTGGACTCTGGTAGGGGTTGACTTGCTCTTTAAGCTGTTTAACTTGGACCAAGCATTTTAGGTCACAGATAGGTGTAGCTTAGGGTCTCTGTCTATACACCTTATAAGACAATTTAGGTGATGGCATGTTGTTTTTCTGCTATTGAACTGTTTTCTAATAATGTTGTGTTTAATAAAGTGAAGGAAGGAGAGAAATAACGTTTCCCTAGCAGTTTTTAAAAATGTCCCTATATAATCCGATTAATCGTGTCGAGACCCCATCCGATTAATCGATTATCCAAATAATCGTTTGTTGCAGCCCTAATCCAAATGCAATAAAAATGAATGATTGGACAAAAGCCATGCTGAAAATTTGGAAGACAATACAGTCTGCATTTGGGTTGCCAAAAAATATATCAGCACTTACTAACATTGGACATATGAACGACTTTGCTTCCTCTAAATTTGATACAGGCTTCAAGGCATGGGCAAAGTTTGGACTTACCAACCTGCATCAACTTCTTGAAGGGGGCAATTTTAAATCATTTGCACAGCTATCGGATCAATTTAAACTACCGAATACACATTTTTTTTAGATTTTTACAGCTAAGGGATTTTTTATTAAAACACAAAGACTGGGACAGAGTTTCTAAACCGACGCCAATTGAAGAGTTGCTGATCGAAGTACAAACAAACAAGTGGGCTAAAAATTAATAAGTGGGTGTTACCAAATATTCATGAGCATTGTAACGTCACGAAATGGCCTGAAATGAGACCCACAGGTCAAGATCTACAGCCAGGTCAACTTAACCTGGCTATGACACAACCTACAATATTTTCCCCTCAGGAGACTGGAAGTCTGCATGTAGTCCCTTTTAATCAGAGCCTACCTTCCTCCCCAGCTGGACTGCAGCTCTGAGAGATAATAAATGATAAACAATAACATTCTCTTCTCCAAGGTCCTTCACAGAGTGTCATGTTCTGTGTCTCTTTGTTCCCCAGCCCCTCCTGTTCCACTTCAGGTTTTCGTCGTGTCCCATTATTATCCCTAGCCCTCTGTAGACTTCCCTCAGGTGTCCTTCTAATCATTCTCAATTCCTAGTCAATCTTATTTTAGTCTTCCTCATCCATCTAGTTATTTGTTTATTTTTTGCCCTCAGTCTTTAGGTTTAGTTTTGTGTTTATAGGTTTATGTTTATCTGCCCTCTGATCA